GACTCCCAAGTTGCGGACCCTGTCTGAGGGGCATAGTATTTGACCCCCCAGCCTGAGAGATGGAACACTTGGCCAATATAACAGTTCATTTAATGATCGGAGTTACTAAGGTGATAAAATGGGGCAAAATTCAGTTAACAACCATTTCGCTCAGCAGCAGAGAATTTGGGCTCAGGATTATCTGTGTGAGGGAGGGGACCCTTCTTTTGAACAGGAGGGGAATCTCACCTCTGGAAAACATTCCGATTTGGAATTTTTTGAGCCAGTTTCATCTTCTCTCTCTTCTGCAAGAAAAAAAATATGATACATTTATTCGGTTTGAGGAAAAAAAGAGAGAAAAAAAGCAATTTTGCTGGAAAATATATAAAAGCCCTGCGGGGAGAAAGAGGAGGAGGGTGTGTGTTAAAATCTGCCTCTTTGGAGGAATTTATTTTATTTTAAATAATTTTTATTCAACATTTTGTAAGCATTAAAATCACGGTTAGGAAGCCAAAAAGTATTTGAAAAAGATTGGTTAGAGTTGATAAAAGGAGTCAAAATTGATCGGAAACCAGAAGTGTTTCTATTAGGAATAATGACAACCAAATATAATAAAAGAAATCCAGTATTTAATTCTACACATAATTACGGCAGCGAGGATTGGCTTCGCTCAGAAATGGAAAAATAAATTGATACCAAACGAAGACGAAATAATAAGAAAGGTTCTAGAACTGTGCTGAAATGGACAAACTAACAAAATAAATTCAGGGAAAAGAAGAAACAGATATCAGATATGGGGAAAATGGTATAGGTGGTTGATGGAAAGAAACAAAGGTCATTGAAAGTTAATAAAGTCCAAAAGTAGAAATTAAGGAGGATTATTATATAGATATGCACTCAAGAGAATTTAAACATATTAGAGGTAATCACCCAATGTATCAGATAGATAAGTAAAATAAGAGGCTTAAAAATGGTGAAACTTAAAACAAAACGTATTAGAAGGGGAAATAACCTAAGGAGAATTGTACCGATTTGAAACTGCTATAAGAAGGAACACGAAGTTCCAATGTATTGTGTAAATCAGAGGTGGGTTGCTACCAGTTCGCACCTATTCGGTAGAACCGGTTCGTCAAATCTACCGAACCAGTTAGAAGAGGTTCCACCAGTGGACCCGGAAAGCAGGC